CAAAACACTCAGTTCAGCACAATCTGTCATGGTTTGATGCTGATGCAATACCTGCGCACCCATGAAAATCTATTTTTCTCAAATGAGTGCTGTGAGAGAACCCCAAATCTAACCCTAACCCAAGCAGAAGCCGAGGTTTGGGTGTCCCAGGAATGGGGGGCTGCCCCAACAGAATAGGAATGATGAGGTTCCTGTTTTCTCCTGTTGAATTTCAACCCCACCACGCTCAGCTCAGCCCAGCCACAGATCCAGAGATTATCCAGAGCCGCTTGGAAGTGAATGCCCATCATTCCTGAGCCTGCAGCCATGAAATAGCTGCATTGTCTCCTGGGCTTAAAAGCTCCAGCCCTGGGGTTCTGGTCCAGATAAGAGATACCACTGTGGGGTTTTTTTCCCTAATTTCCAGGAGCTTTGTCCCCTGCTCCTGGCCTGTCCCCGTGGCTAATCCTGCTGGAAAACTCCCTAAACCAGCGTGCTGCTGCGCAGATTAATCGCTCAGCAATGTGTGTCCTGGCCTGACCTTGTGTTCCAGAGCCTCTGTGCTCCCCAACCCTTCTGTTCCTGCCCTGGGGAGCTCCTGTGCTGCTCCACCAAGACCCCTGACCCCAAAGGGCTGCTCCTGTGGGGACCCAGCTCCTTTCCAGTGCCTGGATCCCATGGGAGCAGCTCCTGCAGCTGTGCTTGAGCTGAGAACGACTATTTCAGTGAGAGCTCTCGTTGCTGAAGTGGGATCTGATTTGTCTGAGCCACGTGAGCCGTGCTGGGGCAGCTGCTCAGGGCTTTGGGCACCTGGTGCTTGCAGGTTTGGGCACGCTGGGGCTGCCAGCCCTCGGTGGGGCTTGAGCTGGGTGCTGAGTGCCCCCCTGCCCGCGGCTGGTGCCACCCCAGGGAGGCATTTCCTGCATTTCCTGCATTTCCTGCATTTCCTGCATTTCCTGGCAGCTGCTTGCGAGTCCCAGCCTGCCACTGCCCCAGGTGTGGGCAGGTGAGCTGTCACCTCAAGCTGTGACCCCAAGTAATCACCCCAAGCTGTCACCTTGACCTGTCACCCCAAGTGATCCCTTTGAGCTGTCATCCTGAGACATCACCCCAAGCTGTCATCCCAAGCTGTCACCCTGAGCTGTCACCTCAGGCTGTGACCCCAAGTGATCACCTCGAGCTGTCACCCCAAAACATGACCTCGAGCCATCATCCCAAGCTGTCACCCTGAGCTGTCACCTCAAGCTGTGACCCCAAGCAATCACCTTGAGCTGTCACCCTAAGCAATCATCTCGAGCTGTCACTCCAAGCCATCACCCCAAGCTGTCACCCCAAGCAATCATCTCGAGCTGTCACCCCAAGCAATCACCCCAAGCTGTCACCTCGAGCTGTCACCCCGAAACATGACCCCAAGCTGTCACCCCAAGCTGTTTGACCCTGAGCCATGACCCCAAATTGTCACCCCAACCCCTGCTCCCTGTTAGGTGTTCCTGATGGGCTCTGGTGTTCCTGATGGAGTCTGGTGTTCCTGACGGGGTCAGGTGTTCCTGATGGAGTTGGGTGTTCCTAATGGGGTTAGGTGTTCCTGATGGAGTTAGGCGTTCCTGATGGGCTCTGGTGATCCTGCTCACCCAACCCTTGATCCTGGTGTCCATCCTGAGTGAAATCCTCTCTCTTCCATCCCTGTAGAACAACTGGCCAACTGCTCAGCCCTGAACTGCCAGCACCACTGTGCCCCAACGCTGTCCGGCCCCGTGTGCTACTGCAACCACTCCTTCCAGCTGGCTGAGGACAGGAGGAGCTGCAGAGGTGGGGCTGGGGAGAGCTGGGGGCAGCATGGGGCAGGTGGGATGGGATTGATGGGATGGGATTGTATGGGACTGATGGGATGGGATAGGATTTATGGGATGGGATTGATGGGATTTATGGGATGGCATAGGATTTAGGGGATTTATGGGATTGATGGGATTTATGGGATTGATGAGATAGAATTTATGGGATGGGGTGGGATTTATGGGACTGATGGGATGGGATAGGATTTATGGGATGGGATTGATGGGATTTATGGGATGGCATAGGATTTAGGGGATTTATGGGATTGATGGGATTTATGGGATTGATGAGATAGAATTTATGGGATGGGGTGGGATATATGGGACTAATGGGATGGGATAGGATTTATGGGATGGGATTGATGGGATTTATGGGATGGCATAGGATTTAGGGGATTTATGGGATTGATGGGATTTATGGGATGGAGGGGATGGGATGGATTGGATGGATGGGATAGGATTTATGGGATAGGATTTATGGGATTGATGGGATTTATGGGATTGATGAGATAGAATTTATGGGATGGGGTGGGATTTATGGGACTGATGGGATGGGATAGGATTTATGGGATGGGATTTGTGGGATTAGATTGATGGGATGGGATCCATGGGATGGGATGGGATGGGATTGATGGGATGGGCTCCATGGGATGGGATGGGATCCATGGAATGGGATTGATGGGATGGGATCCATGAGATAGGATGGGATGGGGTGGGATTTATGGGATTTATGGAGTGGGATCCATGGGATGGGATTCCCTGGCAGGCTGCTGTGAGGGTCCCTTTGGCTCAGGCATCGCTCCTCCTCTCCAGCTCCACCTTGGAGAAACCATGGAGCTTCATTTCCTCTTCAAGTAGCAAAGGAGGGTTTTTTTCTGGTCAAAACCTTGGGTTTTTTCCTGATCCAAACCTTGATTTTTTTCCTGTCTCTCCCAGACTTTGATGAATGCACCGTGTATGGGACCTGCAGCCAGACATGCACCAACACAGAGGGCTCCTACACGTGCAGCTGTGTCGAGGGCTATCTCCTGCAGCCAGACAACAGATCCTGCAAAGCCAAGAACGGTGAGAACCTCAGCAGGGAGAACTTCAGGTGGTGCTTCAGGGCAGCTCTGCACACCACAGCCCTCTGAATTCTCCACACTGGGCTCTTCCCTGGGGTTACATCCACAGGATTGAGCTGTGCCCTGACCCTGCTGTCCCCTCCTTGCCCCCAGAGCCCGTGGATCGCCCTCCTGTGCTGCTCATTGCCAACTCCCAGAACATCCTGGCCACGTACCTGAGCGGGGCCCCCGTGCCCAACATCACCCCCACCAGCGCCAAGCAGACCACGGCCATGGACTTCAACTACGTGGAGGACACGGTCTGCTGGGTCCACGTGGGTGACAGCGCCTCCCAGACCATCCTCAAGTGTGCCAAGATCCCCAACCTGAAGGGCTTTGTGGAGGAAAGGTCCATCAACATCTCCCTGAGCCTGCACCGTGAGTGTCCGTTCGCTGTTCTGCTCCCCCATCCCCAATTCCCAGGCCATGGTGGGTGGAACTGGGAAGGAACTTCCCACAGGTCATTCCCTTTCCTTTTTTATTATTTCTAATAATTTAGTAATTTCTTGGTGTGCAGATATGAGGAGAAATTATAAAGGGAGGAGTGGAGCGAGTTTTGGGATGGCAGCTCTTGCTTCCTTTGGTCCCACCCCATAAAAATGACCAAATCCCACCCCAAAAAGTGACCAAGAGTAAACTCCCAGCCCAGAGGTGCCTCTGTGGGTGCCCCTGAGTTGTGGTGTGAGTGGCTGGTGGCATTTCCTTCTGCTGGTGGCTTTGTGACCAGAATTAGTGTGGTGACAGCTCCATGTCCAGTTTGGGTTTGCTGGTCAGGATGGGAGGGAGAGTGACTGGTTGGGGTTTTGGTGCTCTCTGAGGGGTCCCTGTGGGCTTCCAGCACCTTCCATGCCTGCACAGAGCAGTGAGTGCCACAGCTGGGATGTGGGACACCATTGCTGTCACTGCTTTTATCCTTTGCCCAAATCATTTGGGGTGGAATTGGGGGATCTGGAGCTTGCAGATGGTCTCTGTCAGGTTTTTGCTTCTCCAGGGGGTGTCTTTTGCCTCCTGAAAATGGGGAGGCTTCCAGGGGAAAGAGGAATCCCCTAACCCTACCCACGCTGCTGTTGGGTGAGCAATGGCTCATTTGGGATGGAACAGATTTCTGCAAAGGAGTGAAGGTCCTGGGTGCATCTCAGAGCTGAGAGGGATTCTCTGCTGAGGGCAGTGGGGTTTGAGCTGGGATCCTGGGGGTCCTGGGAGTTCTGGGGGTCCTGGGGATCCTGAGGGTCCCAGGGGAAACTGGGGGTTCTGGGGGTCCTGAGGATCTTTTGGATCCTGAGGATCCTGGGGATCTTGAGGGCTCTGAGGGTCCTGTGGATCCTGAGGGCTCTGGGGATCCTGAGGGTCCTGAGGGTTTTGGGGATCCTGGGGGATCCTGAGGGTTCTGAGAGTCCCAGGGGTCCTTGAGGTTCTGGAGGTCCCAGGAGTTCTGGGGGTCCTGGGGGGTCCTGGGA